ATTGTATTGCCATCAATTGGATCAATGAATGATTACACAAATCATTGATTAATGCATTTTGAACTAATCCAACATGCGACGAAACGCGATCTCAAAGATATGAACTTTTACTGGCCTAGTATTGACTGCTTTAGAAATGAAAAGAAAAAAAATAATATGTCACAAGTACTTCTAATATATATTTGATATTGAATGATTTTATAAATTAAATTTATTGGTTAGATTTAATATTATATTCTTTATGTAAATATTCAATCTCAAAATATAATCCATAAATTAAATCCTTATCAAATATTAAATATATAATTAAAATTTTACTTTTTGTTTTTCAAATGAAAAAAAATAGCACTTGATGTAGAAGACATCCCAAACTATCACTTAATAACTAGTTTTTTATATATATTATGAATATATATATTATATAAATATTATATATATGCCGACCAATTTGGAACGGCATGTTTTAAGGAAGAGAAATAAGAAAAATAAACATTTCTATGAATTATTCTATATCATACTTGACAATATGGTATAAAATCTCAAACAATGCTGACACTAACAAATTAAATTAAAAAAAAATCCATGATAGGAACTAGGTAGTATTGGAGATAGTGTTTTTATCTATTTTCTTAAACAACTTTTAGGAAAAAAAAATTTAACTTTTTTATTAAAAAAGCTATTTTAAGAAGCAGTAGAAGGTCTTCCCAAACAAAGCTTGATGCTCCTAGCAGAATGACATAACCAAATCTAAAATATTCAAACATTAAGGCGATGTTTGGACTGTATTTTCTTTGTATCTTCTTAAAGCAACTTTATTTTTAAAATATAAAAATTTGCTATACTATAAAAAGTATGCTTTATAGAAGTAATATAAAACCTCTCCCAAATGAACAGCTAAGAGATTTAGGGCAAACACAGAGCAAAGACCTGGTTCAATAAATCATGATCACATATAAAGGACGCAATATGTAGGATGGAAAGTAAACAAAACGAGTATTAAAATATAAATTAAACAGCTCAATTACCTGCTCCCTGGCGTGCCGCATGCTGGATATTAAGATGTGAGTGGGACGGAATAGAGGCGATCCTCCGAGACACCTTCGCCATCAAATATGTCGTCTCCTCAGATCAAGTTCTCTAAGCTCGAGAGCTCCATCCCACGAGCATGACAGATAAAAGGAAGCCAAAACCCCAGAAAGATTTCATGTGTCCGTTGTAATTAGAATAGAAGAACCACAGAGACAAAATCTTTTAGAGGATGTATAAAGAGAAACGGAGATTTAAGGAATCCGCGCGGAGAACGCAATGACGAGTAAGTTTTATATTAATACGGCAAGATTAAATAAAAGCCGTTTTCAGCTGGAAGATTTTACATTTATTTGCTGAAGAAATTGGGATTGCAGACGAGTAAAGAGAAAAAAGAATATTCAAGAAAGGAAACCGTCCCTGACTCTCGGTGTGAACTTATTGCAGATAAAGCACGTCGTTCGCTTTTGCTTCGGTGCCTCCATTTTCGGCCTGAAGAGATTCCTTAGCGCCTGTGAGACGAGAGAGAGAGAAGAGAGTCTTCCAGGCCACGCAGTATGCCGGGTGAGTTAGGAGGACATGAGGGAAATGCAAAAGGAATTCGCGCGTAAACTTTTTTGATTTGTCGGGCTATAAAATGAAAGGCTATACCAGTGAAAAGCGTAAATTATTAAACAATTCTAAAAAAAATTTGCATTAATCAAATGATAAGTTCCTAAACTTGAGCGAATGAAATATAAAGATGAGAATATGGATCTTTTTATTTATATATTCTAAAAAATTTTTAACTTTATAAAAATAAATAAAATAAATAAAAAATTAAATATTTAGGCGCTATTTATTTTTTGAAAAGAAATGATATGCAACTATGTTCAAATTGCTAGAGATTTTATATTTTAGAGTATTTGATTGATGAAACATATAAAATAACATTGTAAAAAACTTTGTGTAATTTCTTTTCTACTCCTAATATTTTAGCTTTTTCTAGTCGTGTTATAAACCTCACTCAGTTTCTTCTCGATTCCTATTTAATGATGAGTTGGATTGTATTTGTCCCTATCATACCACATCATTTTTGACTTATATCTATATTTATTTTACTTCAAATTCAAACAAAGTTAATATAGCCTCT